AATCGGGTGTCATCGACATATTGATGACACCCAAGCCCATACCTCTGGACAATCTGGGCGAGGGGGCGCATGTATATGTTAAATAGCACTCCACATTCAAGCAGGTGCCTCCGGGACTGCTGCTCCCCTAGCCCAACCCTCTGTCCCCGACCTTGGAGAAAAGAGACAAGCCATTGAAGGGCGAGCCCCTGAATCCCCACGTCGGCACGGCGGTGGGCCAGCAGCTGGTGGTCGACCGTATCAAATGCGGCCGACAAATCTAACAACAACAGCGCTGCCACACCGCCTCGATCCAGATGTCTACGGAGGTCGTCAGTAAGGGCAACCAGCACTGCTCTTCCGGTACGGCGCGTTGACAGGCGGGTGGGCGCGTGGTGAGGTCCGTCCCCGCCCGAGCCTCTTTTGCCTTGTTCCAGCCCCCTGCTTGGCAGGGGGGCTCGTCCAGCACCCCGGTGGTGGGAGCTGGAGCAGGCGGGCGTTTCTTTCTGCCCCCCCGCTTTCGGCAAGGCGGGGGGTGCCCAGTTACAGCCCCAACGCCGTGGCAACTAGAAGGAGGAACATGGCCGCCAGCCATGTTCCACCAAACGCGACCAGCCGTTGTTTTTAACTTTGCACGGAAAGAAGATAGAAAAGGAAAAACCACAGCAACGGAGAAAATCTAATGAGTGAGTGAACTTTGCTGGAATATTAAATGAAAACCCCGAGAGAAAATGTCCGTTTTGGAGGGACCACCAAAACAGGAGAAAGAGACTGGTTGAAAACCAAAAAGGGGAGAATAGAAAGACAAGGAATGAATAAAGGAAGAAGACACGTGGATATGCTGAGGCAGAAAAGAAGACTACAAATGATTAGATGGAAGAATAAGTTGTATAAAAGTTAGATAGTTTGGTTTTCTCTGGATATAGGATGAAATGGGAAAGTGACCTGTAATTTATTTACTCATGAATGTATTTACTTGTTACAGTGGTATGGGGGTGGACATAGTGTAGGATTTAAGTGATCATAAAATAGAAATCATGTTTGTTAGAATGACTAAAGATTAATTAAAAGGGAAAATAATGAAATGGTTACTAATGAAATGAGTGCTTAAAATAATCAGAAAAATTTGTGCTATGTATGGTTAAGGTAAATATTTAAGGGATTTAATGTAGGATTTAAGTGATCATAAAATAGGGATCATGTTTGCAAAAATGATTAAAGCTTAACTAAAAGGGAAAATAATGAAATGAAATTTTAATGAAATAAGTTCCAAAAATAATTAGGTAAATTGTATAAAAGTTAGACAGTTTGGTTTTCCATGGATATAGGATGAAATGGACCTGTAATTTGTTTACTCACGAATGTATTTACTTGCTACAGTGGTATGGGGGTGGACATAGTGTAGGAAGGGATTCAATGTAGGATTTAAGTGATCATAAAATAGGAATCATGTTTGCAAAAATGATTAAAGCTTAACTAAAAGGAAAAATAATGAAATGGAATATTAATGAAATAAGTTCCAAAAATAATTAGAAGAATTTGTGTTGTGTAAGGTTAAGGTAAATGTTTAATATTGTGGAGTAAAATTAGAGAGATAAGGAGAAAGTTAAATGGATTACATTGTGAGGGGTAACCAGGTAGTAGATTGAATATGGTGTTTGTAGACTATATATGGTGGCATAAAGATAGGTGTATCAAAAGAAAATGAAGTTTTAAAATATGTGAAATTTAAAACCCTGTACTCATTAAACAAAGAGCCAGCAGATTACTGGAAGGTAGTAATACTATATGAGTATCAGAAGTTATGTAATAGACTCATGAGGAATCAGTTAGTAATATCTAAAGGAAGTTGTATTAGGTTTTACCCAATGCAGATGAGAGACTTAAAATGAAGATAAGTTTGGAAGCTGCTTATAAATGAAACTAGAGCTGTGTAATACTCTGTGCTGAGGTGAAATTGAATGTTGTAATAGGATTTTTGTGTAATCATGTTGTTGACTTTATTAGTATGTATGAGACAGGCTGATATTATAAACTCAAATAAAAATATTATTTAAAAATAAATAATTTTTTTTTAAAAAAGTAAGGGCAACCAGCACTGTCTCCGTCCCATACCCCGGGCGAAAGCCAGACTAGAATGGATCAAAGATGGAAGCGTCATCTAGAAATCCCTGTAACTGCGTTGCCACCGCCCTCTCAATCAGTTTGTCCAAATAGGGCAAATTGGACACCGGCCGATAGCGGGCCAATTCAGTCGGGTCCAGAGTTGGCTTTTTCAGGAGAGGGTTAGGCTCCGTGGGCGAGCTAAAATCCGCTCGCTGCCTAAACCGGGACATTTGCACGAGCCTTCAGGGCATAGTGGTTCAACCATGGTACCGCTTTAGCAGTAATCCGGTCCACTGTAATTCCCGCCGTGAAGATTAAATTGAGCATGCGACGCCATGGACGCCACTAGGTCTGTAGCCCGACTAGAGGTCGCGTCATCGGCATGGACATTGAAGTCACCCAAGACTAAAAGCCTAGGGTGCTCCAGCGCCCAGCCTGCTACGGTCTCCAGTAGGGACAGCAGACTACTGGCCGGTGCGTTAGGCGGACGGTACACCAGCCAGACACCAGCTTAGTATTTTTGTTGGCCAAATGGCTTAACTGTCATCTTGTACTGTACTCTGGAATACCCAATTACCGAAACAGCAAGATATCTGTTAAATATAGCAAGCCCTTCATCAAGCAGCCCTATACTGGATCATCTAAAGTTGGTGCAGAACTGCACAACTTGTGACCTGCAAAGTTAATGTAGTACACACCAGTCCTGGACCTGTCTGGTTGATGGCCTTTCTACCCATCCCTGCAGTCATAGGCAGGCAGGTTGTAAAACAGGACATTTATAAACCCTCTGATGGGACACTTTACACAGCTGGGGTGTTATGGGCTTGATAGGTCACAAGTTTTTGCAAGTCAAGAAACAACCAAACAATCAGAAATGCCTAGGAAGGATGGAGAAATAAATTAGTTCTTTGCTTCCCTAGAACAGGAGCAGCCCTCAGAACTTGGATAATTGTTATTCAAAAATATGTCTTTTTAGGACTCTCATTTTTCTAGAAAGATGCTTGCTGGTCCTGTATGCAATTTTTGGCATAGGTGTATTCTTCATTCAGGTATAAAAAGATGGTTCTTTATTAGCCTTCTTACTACTCACACATTCAAGACTTGTTCATAGTCCATTAAACATGATAGGATCACAGTTAATTTTCCACATTGCTCGAGTCTCCATTTAAAACTCTCTGAGGAACCTGTGGCATTTTGCCATGCAGAATGGGTCATCCTTAAAATCATTACCATAAATGCCTCCATAAACAAAATTGGATCAGCTACCTCATTACCCAGTAGACTCCCAGTCACACTTGCATATCTGGTTAACCAGGCATTCCAGCTGTTGCACTCCTCTCCCATTGTATAATGTTCTCATTTATATTTTTCTGTGGTTTCCTGAACTAGCTTGTGGTAGCCCCTTATCCATATCTAAAACGTTTATGAGGGGCTCTGGGATCAGTAGATATTTGAATTTATAAAATAATATATAATAGCACTAGAGGTTGTGGCATACAGACTATTACCAGGGACCAGTAGCTCTGCAGATTTTTTGTTACTGACAAAAGCATTGCAATATATATGTGTGCACATGGATTCTGTCATAAGTGTCTAAAGAAATCTGTCCCTTTCCAACAAAGGAGTCTGTGACTGTTCCCCTGATCTGCACTAGTAAGGTGTTTTTAGAGCATCTGTGGTATGATATATAAATATTTTGTTGAAATTTAATATTACTTGCTAATGGGCCTTAGAACGTAGATTCAAGAGTCATTGATTCTGTTGCCCCAAAGCAGCAAACTGCCTGGGCTAAAGACCTTTAGCATGACAGACTGAAATGTCAGCAACTGAGACAATAGCAGCAGGGCTGGTTCCAGGTTTTGAGAGGCCCTCGGTAGAGAATGCTCAGTGGCTCCCTTCCCTGCCTCTGCCAACCACCAGGTTTCTTGCTCATATTCCTTTCCTGCCCCCACCCATGTACCCTGTACCTGCCTGTGCATCCTTCCTCAGACTGCGCATGACCCCTCCTACCACTTATACTGACACCCACCTGTACACCTTTTCCTCAACAAGACTGGGCATTGTGTGTGGCTGGGAGTGTAGTTGCTGTGACCATCAGGAGCATAAATAACAAAAACCCACTGTGACATCAGAGGTTCTGTCATAGGCTTCATGCAAATGAAATAGCTGATCACAGTTTATTGGCTCACATGGCAACAGTAATCTTTGCAGACTATGTTGTGTACATTCAAGAGGTAAGGGTTGTACCTGTGAATGCTTGCACAGTGAGTTGCATGTTTTTGGTTGGTCTTAGTAAAAGGTGTTACATGGCTTTTCTTTGGATTGAGCAGAAGGTGCTGAGAAAAACCCACACAGATCCTTCAGAAATCTAAGCTTGAAATATTTAAAAATATTGTTTGTTTGACATATTTATTAACCATATTCTCCACAAAGTGTAAAAGTATTTGCCACAGTGAAGAGTGGCATGTTGAACTACTTAATCACAAGGTTTAAAAAAAAATAATTGTAGAAATCTTGTAAGCAACTAGCTGTATGTTCCTTCATTTCGACAAAGATTCCTTTGGCTCAGTTTTGTAGATTTTAAGAGTCAGAAGATTCATTGGTGATGATGGGCAGAGCAAGCAGGTGGGACAAAAGCAAAGGTATAGTGAAGTGTGGTAACTATTACAGGAGGCTTTATGATGACTGTCTTACTGTAGTGGTAGGTCTCCTGGTGCTAGTTGTTATGAAAGTATGGAATGATAATTGCCAAAGGTATGATAAAAAACCTGAAACTTCCTTTTAACAGGAACTGGATCTCAATCTGCGGAAACTCACAGCATCATTTGAAAAAGCAACAGCGGAGAAAGTTAGATGTCAAGAAGATGTCAGCCGAACCAACAAGACTATTGAGTTAGCTAATAGGCTCGTTAAAGGACTTGAGGTAAGTTGGCTTTTCATTCATACCATCTATAAGAGTGCTGCCCTGACTTGGATAGCCCAGACTAGCCCAGACTCCTCAGATCTTGGAAGCTAAGCAGGGTCAGCCCTGGTAAGCCTTTGGATGGCAGACCACCAGGGGATACCAGTGTCATGATGAGGAGGCAGGCAATGGCAAACCACCTCTGAATGTCTCTTGCCTGGAAAATTCTACGGGGTCCCCATAAGTCAACTATGACTTGACCATAAAAAAGGGGAAAAAGGAGTACTAGGAAAATGAAATATTCTTGTAAAAGTAATGGAAATGAAGCTGGTTTTAAAAAATCATCTACAAGGGAGGAGACAACATAAAACTGTAAGCACTTCCTGTATGCAGCTCTGTGTTCCTCTCTGCCCACCATAACCTGAATGAGTAGATTTATTGTGTGCATGTGTTTACACACGCACACACACACACACATATGAAGGGTTTAATGAGAGCTAGAGTTTAGCAGTGTTGGAATCTATTTTCAATCCCAGGGACAAGCACTGGACCATATAGAAACAGAATGGCATTGAGTAGAATCTGTCTCACTACTAAATAACTGCAAATTATCAGCCCTTTCTTCTATTCACTTGGTATTAAAAATCAGGATTTCTAGGATCAAAGGGTACAAACTCTAGAAAGGTGTGGGTGTTGACGCCTCTTTTTAGAAATACAACCATTAATGTTATGTGTTGAAGCTCAACATCAAAAAAACTAAGGCAACCATTAATGTTATATGTTAATACACATTTAATATATGGTGCAAGTGTAAATTGATCATGAAGGATCCTACTTTATGTACACCTATATTTGTCCTGTTAATACACTTAGAGGAACCCCCAATGAGGAAAACAGCAGCTCTTGGAGCAATTTCAGGTTAGAAAATGGTGGGGAAAAACCTCTCCTTTCGTACTGTGATCCCAGTCTAAATCAGGCTTCCACGTGCTGTGTCATTGAGTTCCAAGCAGGGTAGAATTCATGATTCACAGCTGATTGAAAGTTCCTGTAGTGGACCTACACATTGCCCCAAAACTTCATACCGTGTACTTCGCTCCATATTTTTAGGGAGACCCAAGTTCAAATCTCTGCTCTCCATGAAATTCACTGAGTGATCTCAGGATGGTCATCCTCTCTCAGTCTAACCTTACCTAACAGTTAGTTTCAGAGGGTAGTTATATTGATCTGCAGTAGAACAGTTAGATTCAAGTCTGGTAGCACCTGAGACCAAAAAGATTTTCAGGTATAAGCTTTCGAGAATCAAAGTTTGACAAAGGGAGCTTAACTCTCAAAAGCTTAAACCCCCCAAATCCTTTTGGTCTCCTATTGCTATTGGACTTGAATCTAACTGTTCTACCTAACAGGGTAGCTGTGAGGATAAAATAGTGGAGAATAAAATGATAAACACTGCTCCAAACCTCTTGAAGAAGAGTGTGGTAAAAACACATGCACATTCTAACAGCTTGCTGCTTCAACTGCTGTCAGTGAAGGCCAACCAGTAATGATGTGAGGCCCTTTCCTGCTTAGATTCTGCTCAGGCTTATTGCACAAGCTGGAGTGTTACTATCATCTAAGAATGAATGGTATTTTTGTGTGATATTAAAAAGTATACAGAGCAGCAATATGGCCGGCCCACCTGGACTTGCACTAGGTGAGCTGCTGAGAATGGCGATGTGGAGGGGGAGTTGAAAGGAGCTGTGTTAGGGGGAGAAAGAGACAGTGAT